TCCCCTACCTTCTGCTTGTAACTCTACTTAATAATTGGTTCTCAAACCTGTCAAAATATCGTCTGGTTCTCAAAAGAAACCATGCAGAACTGGTAGAGCACCAGCAGTGACACTGTATTATGGGAAAAAGGAGTTGTTTGAGAACACTATCCAATCATTATACGTGTTTAATTGCAAGTTCCGATGCAAGGTGGTGATTCCTGAGATATTTATCCCACCTGCATCCTCTCTGGAGCCGGAACAGTTGAACACATCGTACAGACCAAACTTCTGCATCATACTGGTTGGTTTGTTACAAAAGGCAACTCGCTGTTATGTACAACTGCGTTTTGGAGCGTTTCCTTCACGTTGGTCGTCTTTCTTGTGGGACAGCCACAATTGCAGTGTATACCTGGCTTACGTCAGTGGAAAAAAGTTATTTGATTGTGAAATCTTGACAACAATGTCAACCTGACACCAGAGCGGAGGAGACGTATGCACGGAAATGTGTTTAAAGAAAAAAACCTGCGTTCACTGATATCAGATATAAGCATCCAGCTTTAGTGGTGGAAACACTGCAACTTGACTGTAAACACTTTTAGATCAAGTAAAACAAAATGTAAATTAAATTTGTGCCACTATTCAGCTTGAAACATTCTGCAAGTCATGGCGGTGGGAACGACACACAGGATACAGGAGATGCAAACAGTTTAATTATAAGTGTGGGAGATTTCTGTTCAGCCATGCATGACCCGAACAGATACACTGTAATTATGGCGGAGCTATTGGCATAAACTGTCACGAGGAATTGCAAACTGCCAATAACCCACAGAATTCATGCTTGTTTGCGTTTTCCTTTGTCACTTTGTATCAGGTCTATCATGGGTGGTTGGCGACGCAGAGGAACTGCCCTTTGATGACGACCAGTTCGATATATACACCATCGCCTTCGGCATTCGAAACGTTACTCATATAGATCAGGTAAGTTACTTTTCAAGGTCTTTTTAATTTCTGTTTCCAGTTAAATTTTATTTTTTTACTAATTTATTCTCAGTTTAAATAAGAGATGAATCCAGCAGCTGTGTTTTTAGAGTAACATTTTTTTGTGTCCTTTGACATTAAATTAATAACTGGCTGTTTCAGGCACTGCAGGAGGCTCTGCGGGTCCTGAAACCTGGCGGCAGGTTTATGTGCTTAGAGTTCAGCAAAGTGACAAATCCCCTGTTAGCAAGGTGAGGAGGAGATGATGGCCTTGAGTGCATATGTAATATAAATCAATACTGTAAAAGATAGTCTTGCTGAAATGTTCATTTTCTCTATAAGAGATGCTTTTATGGTTTTATAAGTTTATATAATGTGATGAATATTGCTTAATTGCAAGTCAGTTGACTTTTTCTGAAACTGCAGATGTAACAGACTAAATGAGCTCTTGCTGCCCTCTTCTGGTTCTCTTTAATATAGTATGCATGCACTTAAGTAGAAATGGAGTTTTGGGATATTTAAAAAGAAGTTGAGAATCATCAGCTGATCATTGATCAGTTTGACTTGCAGACTGTTGACTTAAAGTTCAACAGATTTCAACACAAAGTTAAATGAGGCACTAGAACTGTGATTGCATGTGATTTAGAGGTTTTAGTTTATTGAAAAGTATAAATACATGATATTCACAAATGAACTCTGGAAAATCATATAAATCATATAAATCAAGAGTAAAGGATAATGTTTATTAAACATCTGTGAAATAAATCTGGTCAAGTAACAGCAAGTAGCAGAGGGGTTTGTTAATCACACACACAATCACCCCTGCCCACACACCTGAGTAGCCCTCATCTCCCAGGCCACTCATGCATGGACTCTACTCAAACCAAGTCCTTGCACTACTTCCAATGATAGATACCCTGACTGCCATTAGGTATCAGGATTAAACGAGTGTCAGACCTCACACTGTTGCAGTGGGTCCTGGCTCCCCCCTGGTGACGAAAAAGCTCAGTCTCATATGGCGAGAGTATCGAGGCAGTTCCTGGAGGAAGTGATACTATTGAGTATCCCCATGCTTACCTGACATGATTTGGTGCATCCAATTCTGTCAGGCTGCACCTCAGACTGTCCAGGAGCTCAGTGAAATGTGTAATTATGGGAGTTATTTGAGACTAACACTGGGTTCTAGTTCTGAGAGATTCCCGTTTTCTTTTTCAGGCTTTATGATGCGTACAGTTTCCAGATAATCCCAGTGTTGGGAGAGGTTATTGCTGGAGACTGGAAGTCTTATCAGTATTTAGTAGAGAGCATCCGCAAGTTCCCCAGCCAGGTAAGGCAGATTTATGGTCTGTGTCTTGTTCCTGTCATTGCTGCGCTTACTTTGATTACAGTTCTCAATTTCAAGTTCCCTTCTTAGATCTTTCATTCACATATTTTTTTCTGAAAGAGAGAGATTTGATTCATGATAAATGGCGTGAATTTGTTTATCTGATTATTCAATTGTACTGGCACTGTTTGTCACATTTCTAAACCCTCTTTTAGTCTAAGAAAAAATTGACAGCATTTAAATGAGGTTACAGTGTCTTTAGTGCACATCAACTGATTGAATCTATATGCACAGTCACAGTATTAAAAATCCACTCTGGAAAAGAAACAGCTGAAGCTTGTTATGTATTCACACTGTACTGCTGTGTGCATGTCTGTCACTTTGTGGATTCACTGTTAGTCATTGGTCCCCTTGTTCTTTTTCCTCTGCAGGAGGAGTTCAAATCCATGATTGAAGATGCAGGTTTCTATTGTGTGCAATACTACAATTTCACAGGTGGAGTTGTGGCTCTTCACTCTGGTTTCAAGCTGTGAGATGCACTCCGAATGCCTTCTGTAAAATATCGAATAAGTAAAGTCAGTTTCAGGCTTCTCTGCAGTATGACTGTACAGATTTTTCAGACTTGAGTTTTCTAGCTTGAGGCTTCCATCTGCTCATTGCAGAATGACCAAAGGTCAGAGAACATTTATGAAATCCAGAGAAATTATTATGAAAACTGCTCTTAATAGATCTCACTGTATGTGTACTTGTACAAATGACAAGATGATTTTTTTTTTTTGGTAATGTGTTTTGGTGATGAATAAAAGCTAAAAAAGCTAATCATAATATCCGAATGGATTATTACCAAAGCTGCAAAAGGCATATTAATTACTCCTTATAATGAAGCTCTTAGAATTTAAACCACTGACTTTTTGCACAAAATAAGAAAACATTAATATAGAGTGCACATGATGAAAAGCAGGACACCACAACATTAGTTACTTGAATAAAACTGTATATTTTACATATCTTTATACACTTTAATTACAAAACTGTATGGTACTAAAGTTTTAAAATCAGTTTTTTGGTCAGAGAAGATTTAATCGTCTTTTGTGCAATTACCATGTATATACAAAGTCTCATGTTAGTGATTTTCCTCAAAATAAAAAGCAACTCAAACGTTCATACACTCGGAACATAAGACATGGCTTAAAGATAAATATATTAGTAAATAAATATTCAGAGAACATATTTCCATTTATGAAATGTGTTTGCTATACAGGTACAGAAATATACACAGATTGATTTCTAGCCTTTTTTTTTTAAAACATTTGTAATAGTAATGACAGAAAATAATTATATTCTTAAAAAATATTAATTTTTGTACACATTTTTTAATCTTAAGTGCTAGAAACAATAACAAAAACAAAAAAACTTAAATAGTGACTCAAGTACCCCAAAATGTTATATTTGCAGTAGGTACATATCTCTATGCAAAAGGCAAGATTAGATTCTCACTTGATTACAGCACTGGGTTAACTTATAAATAGGGTTATTTCAGGTTTTCCTCTGTGTAGAGAATGTGTATATTTCATAGAAACAGTATTAAAAACAGTCTGCAGGACAAACAGAAAGGCATGAATGACAAGCAATGATATCGCAAGTATGTATTATGCACAGCACGATTCAAACGGATACACTGCGGTACTTATAACTGCATCATTCAAAAAGAAAAGTCACAGTACAAATAAGGAACCCTTTTAAAAGATGAGTCTTTTCCAGCTACTTTCCTTTGGCCTTTTGATACATGCTAGAACCTTTAAAGATATTTAATAGAGCATGTTTCATTGTGGAAATCGGGTAAGTGACAAAAAAAATACACTTTTAAGGGCTTCCAAACATTAAGTAGAGTGCTACACTCTATGTTTGAATCTATTGACCCCGAGACACTCGCTCTGGTCTGAAGTTTAACGAAAACCTGTGCAGTGTCTAGATATTGCTACAAATAGCTTCCCAGCCCAGCATAAGGCTTGCCACGTTGCTCTGGCATCTCTCATACAGGTAGGCCACAACTGGACAGAAATGCAATGCATAAAACAAATTCTGTGTATTGACCAGTGTCAGCCTTGCATTCACATTTCTATGCAATTTTCTGTAGTTATACATAGCTTTTTTTTTTTCTCCATGGAGAAATGAGTGGGTCACAAATACCTAGAAAGACCCATTTCCCTGCTTGAAAACAGTTTAAAATAAAACAATCATGTCTTTCTGTTTTGGTATTGGTAGCTAAGTCCATGAAATCTACTTGACTTGGTGGATGAAGCTTTAAAGGCAGTGGTCATGTGCACAAATATGCAAAATGTATATGTAGATGCGGATAGTGTACTTATGTGTTTAAAAAAAAAAAAAAAAATCAGATTTCTAGAGCTGGCACATAAAAACAAAACTGAGTTGAGATTTTTTTAAAAACTGGGCCCAGATTGCAAACCCTTCATGGCAGCAGGAAGTCTTCAAATAGATGCCAATACCAACCCAATTGAATTTTCAGTTAACAACCTCCATCCATGTGTGTAGTATCATTTGTGGCCACAGGAATGAACTTAATAC